GTAGACATGGACCCTACTACACTAACTGCCACCCCTACTGTCCTGCCAGATTAGCAGTTACAAGCAGAACTAGCTCAATATGTACAGACCTCTATCTAAGAGGCCTTTACTAACCACATGCCCCTAGCCCCTTTGGAACCTGTTCCAATCATTCTGGAAGTCACAACCTGTTCTGGAAAGAAAGTGTATGTAGCCTACTGAAGAGTTCTGATTTTGGTTACTATCAGATCTTCTTGATTTTATTTAATTCTTTGGATTACATAATCACTTTCTTCATGTAGTTAGTTCTTTCCTATTTGGAATGAGGGGGAGAGTTTTGACCAGAGCCCATGATGACACTAGAGGGAACAAGCCCACCAAAACCTTACCTCTCATTTTGGAGCCCACTGTGAGGGGTGGTGCCTCTGTTCTAAAGTGTCTGGGTTGTTTTTGTCTTGATCTTGGCCTCGAGGGCCTTGCTACGCTTGTTTTGAATCGAACTGACCGTTTTGATGCACGAGAAGCATGATGACGTGGCCGCCAAGAAGAGGATCAAGAGAAGTGCTGTACTTCGACGGCAGCAAGCTTGAGGAACTTCTGCAGTTCTTTGAAGACATTGAGATGTTAGCTGCTGACTTCCAGAAGGACGCCAAGTGGATGTGCAAGCAAGTGACATACTATGCAGCAACGAGCTGTAGCAGTTTGTGGGCTACTGTGCCTGAGTTGAAGAAGAAAGGAGCATGCAATTGGAGCATTGTGAAAGAGGAGATCAGAAAGCTCTATCTGGAGCTGATCGATGGTCAATGCTACACAAGAGCCAATATCACACAACTAGTTGATGTGCAGAGTGAGAAGGAAATGACAGTGCAGACAGAGTTTGGCTGCTACTGCTGCAAGTTCCAGGTGCAAGCAGAGTACTTGAAGGAGCAAGGGAAGATGTCAGCATGCAAGTTAGACTGTAAGTTCTGGAGAGGGATCAGAGGGACGCTGAGGACGAACCTGACGCAACGACTGGAGATTCTCTATGTGGACAAGGATGCAAGCAAGCTGTTCAAATTTGCTGATGTAGTCAGGCTAGCAGACCACGTTCTTCTAGCAGGGCAGACAGAGGCAGGCTGAGACCAGACAGTGATGTTGCCAAAGGAGAAGCCAGAGAAAGAAGCAGGAGACAAGTATGCAAAGATTGTGAGGAAGCTCAAAGAGTTACAAGCCCAGGTCAACAAAGCAAGCAAGTCCAGGAAGATGCTGATGAATCAAGCATGCAAAACTGACCAATCTGCTGATTCTGTGAAATCCGACCTGAAGCACGAGAGGACCTACAACTTTTGTGGAAAGTGAGGACATTTTGTACGTGACTGTAGGACTGTGAGCGAGTACACTCAGAGGGGGAAGTGTATGAGGTTGGGGCAGAAGATTGTGTTGATGAGTGGGGCATTCGTGCTAGCTAGTGTAGAGGGAGCAACGTTGAAGGAGCACATAGACCAATACTATGAAGACAAGCCTGTGTTCACAGTAGGCACAATCGATGAAGCAAAAGATAGGTCGAATGCAAGTGAGGGAGAAAAGCACAAAGCTGTTCTTGGAGTGGATTTGGATGCAGAGGTGACAAGGTTGGAGGAACGCTTGAGGGATGTGAAGAGACGAAGAGAGGAGGCAAGGACCATGAAGGCTAACACGAAGCCAGTCGAAGTCAGACTGAAGCAAAGTGCTGAGTCGAGCAAGATCATCAAGCAGGTCTTAGACCAGATGATGGACAGTGTTGTCATGTTGACACACTACGAGTTGTTTGTGATAGCTCCAGAGCTCGAGTGCCAGTATGCAGCTAAGCTTATGAGGACGACTCAGATGTGTGACAAAATGCTGAACAAGGCTGGAAGTGGACCTGCAAAGGCAGAGGAGGAAGAGACGAGTGAGGAAGCAAGGACTGACAGCAGAGAAGATCAGCACACAGGTACAAGCGTTGCATGCAAGGACAACAAAGCACAGTCAAGCCCAGCAGCAGAGCCGAGAACGAGCAGATTGTATGGGAAAGCAGTGGATTATGTCAGATTGAGTCGGATTTGAGCTGGAGAACGAGAACGAGAGCAGAGCAGAGGAGCAAGTGTGGCAAACAAGGCCAGAAGTGTACCAGCAAGGATGAGGGAGAATAGTGTAATGGATGAGCAGCAGAGACTGTTGTGAAGGGCAGTGGCAAGCCAGATGAACAAGGTCGGAAGTGCATCTGCAAGGATCAAGTGCTAAGACAATGAGAATCAGTCAAGCCCAGCAAGGATACTGAGCACGAGCAGATTATGCAGGAGGACGTCAGAAGCCGTTGGATCAGAGCAGTGTCGAGCAAGGGAGTGTTGGATAGGCACCCCAGTCAGCAACAACAAGGCTGGAAGTGTACCAGTCAGGCTAGCAACAGTAAAGCTGAACGACAAATTGGAGACTGAGAGCTTACTGGACCAGGGAGCTGTTATGAACGTGATGTGCAAAGACGTTTGGAAACGCTTGGGAGTACCAAAGGAGCGAGTGCAGACGAACCTCAGGCCAGCAAATGCAGGATCAATTGCAATCAAAGGTGTCATTCTGAGACTCAAGGTGTCAGTAGGTGGAATATCAATGGTGATGCCAGTTCATGTAGTGAAGGACACAACGTTCGACATGATAATCAGGAGGCCGTTCTTCGCATTAACTGAGTGTGAGACGAAGGATTTCAAGGACAGTAATCAGATTTTGACCTTGACAGACCCAGCAGATCAGAACCAGAAGTGTCAGGTTGAGACCCAAGCAGCTGTTGGATGAAACCCACTACTCACTACTACTACCATCTATGTTGGAGTTGGGGAGGATTGGTCTGGCAAGCCTTTGGCCTTGGTACAGGTTACATTCTCTTTACTCTAACATTCCCTTATACCCCTTTCTTTTATAGACACTCATTCTTACTTGAGACTCACACTCTTTGTTTCTTTATCTTACTTTGATTGATACCTTTTATCCTTACCCACACTCCTTATGCTTACCCTTTATTATTGCTTCTCAAAGCAAGTGACTGAGGACAGTCACTATTTAAAGCTTGGGGAGGTGAAGAGTTCTGATTTTGGTTACTATCAGATCTTCTTGATTTTATTTAATTCTTTGGATTACATAATCACTTTCTTCATGTAGTTAGTTCTTTCCTATTTGGAATGAGGGGGAGAGTTTTGACTAGAGCCTACAATGATACTAGAGGGAACAAGCCCACCAAAACCTTACCTCTCACTACCCTTCAGACTTTAATAAGTAGTACTTTGAGGACTTCTAGTACCAAGTCAAACTATACATGGCTACTACTTTGACTGATCTATCCTCAGATCTTAATTGTATCCTATTTGTCCT